ACAAAAGTTAACAGACACGCTAACCTGGGCAAAGGATCCCTAAGAAAACCATGGGAAGTAACACTGCAGAAGAGTGAGTATCCACTTACTCACAATGAAACCATGAGTCACTCATGCATTTTAGAGAGAACAGAAGCAGGCTAGGTGAAGTATTTGTTTGCCTTGCCACCAAATAGAAAGAAATACGAAATACAGGAACAATGCAAATAACATGATACTGTCCTTCTCCCTTCCTGCTACTCCCAAAGCAAGACGACCACTACTAAGTGCAAAAACACCACTCACTGCAGAGAAAGGGACGGCCTAGTAAAAGACAAGCTCAGAAAGCATCCTATCCTCTTGTGTAAGAAGTGGAGCAACAGGAATTCCACCGCTGTAGAAGACCATTCTGCACCTTCATGTACCTCTCTACCAGGGAATGCTTCCTTGCTGTTCAGCCTTCCTTTTCCTGCTTTTAATTTCATCCCACTCCTGTATTTTTTACCTAATATAACACCTCAAGTTGTTCCTGTTCTTCCACGGTTTTGGTGCACTTCAACTGAACCAACATCTCACTCGGTCTCAAATGAAGCTGCACCTCTTTAACGTGCCTCTTTTTTCCTTGTTATTACTGTCAATTCCTGATAGCTGTACATCTGCCTCCCTTTTGAAGTTCCTGCAATCCATTACATCCAGAGAGGCCCTCTGGTATGAAATCGAAGCTTAAGCACTGAAGCTAAGCAGGTCAGCAAATTTACTCCTGGTGAGCATATCAGAACTACACTGAATTCCCACCTGCCTTCCCCACCCGAGGTTTTTCAGCACATGCAATAACCAAATGCACCTGCCTTCTGTGCAACCATATCACATTTCTTGCACAATCACCTAATCCAGTGTAAATTATTACTGTATCATAGATTTCCTAACTCCTGCCTTCCTGAGTTTTCCATCTCAGTTTCTTGCTGCCCGTTGGAACGGTATTTTGTGCCCAATGTCGAAAGTAACAAGACAGCAGCAACTGGATACCCCAAAAAAAGGAGTTCTGCCTGGCTGCACTTTCCCTGCTGGATCCACCCTCTGTACTGTACCCTTCTCAAGAAGAAAACGTCACAATAGAGTCTGAGATAGTCCTACAATTGTGAAATACTGTTCTGGCCACGTCTTCCCTATTGCCAGCTAGGAAACTCTATAAAGAAAGCTAAAGCAGTCATAGAACTGGACCCTGAAAGAACACAGACTTCAACGGAGGAAAATAAAATAAATTTTAAAAGAGTGAAGTGAAGCGAACATTTAAAACTCTGAACAGATGAAACTAGAAGGATGTCTTTCAGGTGGCAGCAGATCCTTCACAAGGTCAGAGGATAACAAAATAAATAGTCTAAAATGACACATACTTTCTGAAAAACAGCAACTCACAGTGCCACTGAGGTTTTGCTTGTTCTCTGGAGGGGGAAAAGCTAAGAGCAAGATAATCCCAGTACAACCCCTTCTTCCTTCAAAAGCTAACGGGAGACTATGATTAGAATAGGACTCAAGGGAAAACCTTGGGAGACCATGGGGACAACCTGGGTGTCCAAATGCAGGTGCCTAGCAGCACTGTAGACAGTGCAGGATTTCCCACCCGAAACACAGAGGCTCCTCCAGAACGAAGCCTCCAGGTCCCACGCAGTAACTACCAGCCCTGTGAATGTACTTGTTATACCCCGGATGGCTAAAATGACATTAGACACCTATTTGTAGGCATTCAATCATCCCCTATATGCCCCTTCGTCACAAATCTGTACTGGAAAAGGTCACAGTTCAGAAACTAACAGAGGCCACTTAAGGCTTATAGCAGTTGCATTCCTTTTCTCACAACAGTCGGAACATTTTTTGTTTAAATGTTAGACAATTGCACAAGTTCACGAGAAAGATTACATACTTCTTTGTATGTTAGACATGTTGCTGATTATACCTTGGGTAAGGAAGGCTAATACTGAACTAATAAATGAAGCGTTCATGTCCTAGTTACAAAAGTTTTAAACAACTGAAAAACATTATTTACCTTCTTTATTTTCCCTCCTTTTGTTCTTGTTTCTTTCTTTTTTTTTGTGAACAAGAGAGAATTGGGAAGATTTTCACTGTGAAAACTAGTGCCCTTGACTATTTGAAATTTCTTATCTAAAAATAGCCGTTACTCTGGGGTGGTGGTGGTAAGCTTGTTTTGTGCAGGGAATTTAGTTTTTCTAACTGGATATACTTAACTAATACTTAATAGTAGGCACTCATAGGAAGGACTTTTTTATCCAAAACTAACTAATCTGAACATCCTTACAAGGGCTTTTTTCTTAAACAGAAACTACATACAGTGCTTGATGTAAGAACTGTTTCGTTTGTTTGCAGAACACCTGCATATAAGAAAGAGTGGAAAACAACTGGCTTCTCATTTTAAAAAATACACTCCTAAAATGGTTGTCACTGATTAAAGACTTTGAATATACTAAATTACTTTTTTAATTGGGAAGGTAACATTTTATATTTTAACATATCCACTTATTGCCTAAAAATTTCCTTCCTTCCATCTCATCAAATAATACACATCAGCCTTCTCTTTCGTAAGACAGAATGTTCAAACAGGAGCTGCAATTACCTGAAATCAACATGTAAAAAAGCTACTAACCGAAACAAAAATAATACACCAAACATTTTAAGAACTGGAATAAAATTACACTGAAGTAAAATTACCAAAGATCCAGTCAAAAAAACAACGAACTGTATAAATTCCAACATGAACAATAAAGCTTGAAGGTGAGCAATCCAAGGCTATTTTGGAAGTGTAGATGTACTGTGTAGAACTAATTCTCAAACAGAAAGGTGGCAAAAATTGTACTCCTTAATTAACTGCAGTCTTTTATGATTTAAGAAAACGAAGTACAAATGTTTCTTGACTAGCAGTTTGTTCATGTATTAATACATCAGCGTTTCAGGAAAGCTGCGGTGGCTGTGAGGTTCTCCTGTCCTGTGATGGACTTTTAAAAACGGAAGTTAGTCGCAGAATTACTGAAGAACTAACCATCAAAATCACCCTTCCTTCACCAAATCCACAATCAAAGGCATAAGGGAAGAAATAAACAGATCTTTTAGATTATTACCTTCTTACCCAATGATCACCACAGAGACACTCCCCAGCATTCATACACAAAAAGCAGCAGTAGAAGTACCTCCCCTCTTCCTGCGCTTGTTACTGACTCTGCTCCCTCTGTATTCTCAAAACTGACCCCATTCCAGAGTTCTTTAAAAACAACGCATTCCAATCCTCCACCAAGACTGGGCAAGAGACTATTAATAGAAGAGTAAGAGCACACGCTAAGACACTTTCCCATCAGAAACTAACAGCTGCACAGGAAAGCAGGCATGTCTCAAACTCCAGCGGTATCTCGTACCCGGGATTCTTCCCCTGCTCAACACCCGCACGCCCAGGAAGGCACACACTGTGTCAATCGGAGTTCAAAACTAAACACAACCTCCGGTCTCAGCTCATATAACTAACCCACGTACAACGCTGCTTTGCAGTTTTCCAGATAAAACGTCATGAGCTCTCCCTGAACTAGTGATATCCAGCATACTTCAAAGGAACATAGTCATCTTCTAGAGGACTGTTAAATAGCCGCTATAATCTCCATCTGATCAAGAACATTCAGTTCTACTCCTTTAAGTGAACTCTATCTCCCACGGCACAGAACAATTTTCTAGTTGAAGTACCAAAAAGATGGTGAAGTAGAATTTGGAATGTGAAGTTAAGAATTTGCAGCTTTAAACTGTCTCATATTTAAGATGCCCATCCGGCACATTGAAAAATTAATTCCTCTAGTCAACAACTCTCAGAGCTTAGTATCAATTCAACTTGCACTTTCACTACAATTATCATAAAATATTTTCTACACTTCTAAGCCACTGTATGCTGTTCTTGCATGTATTTTAAGACCCAGAAGAAATATTTGAACAATTTTGAAGAAGGGGCATATAATTTCAGTACTCTGCATAAGTCACTACTTAATAAATATTTGTTAAGAAGGGAGACAAGAGAGAAATGCATCAACCTGCTGACAAAAAGACGTAGCACCAGGCAGTTGTGCCACTTCAGACCATCTATTGACACAACAGTTAAACATTCATTAGTCAGTCCGGCCTGACTAATGGCTATTTTATCAATCCTCTAGAAGATGACAATGATGACACTGATGTGATCCTATGATGTGGCTGTATGTTCTTATGACTTCCACATGTTGCTATGAGCCATCTGCGGCAAGTAACAGCACTACATCTTCATCAAAAACTACCCTTTTTTGTTTCAACAACATTGTTCGTATGCCCTCGACTCTGGAAAGAATGTTCATTGTTGAGTCTCAAGACAGACAAACCAGAGCTGAGCATTTTCCACTTCATTAATGGATATTCGGGTAGTGAGGAACTAAGGACGGTCAGTCTCATCTCATGCCCTTTCAAAGTACTCATTTAAACGACACTCAGCTTATTCCCTGGTTTTCAAAGGTCTGGGTAAATGAGAACCTACTTAAGACTGCCTCCTTACGACAACCAGCTCTGCCTTCTTTGGAATGTGCAATTTCCATATACGTTGCTGTTGCACTTACTGCATTAGTGTCGATGAGCTTGCTGAGACCTACAGAATCACAGAACGGTTTGGGCTGGAAGAGACCTTAAAGATCATCTAGTTCCAACCCCCTGCCACACACCTGCAATACATTCGACCTTATGCCTACTGTGTGATCAAAAGAAAGTGCATCCTATTTAAATACAAATGTTCCCTTAGCAAAGAGGAAGTATTGCGCTGGGGGCTACAGCTGTCCTGTGCTATGTCCAAAAAAATAACAATTACATGGTGTGCACAAAAGAAAGACATAATCAGAAAAAAGAAATACAGTTGCATTTATAACCTGCAAAGCCTCACAATTTCCTTGCATAGCAGAGGTTAACGACACTGCTGTCAAGGTTTTGGAAGGACACAATATGCAACCAGATGGACTTTCAGTCTTATCAATAGGTCTATTTCTCAGAAGCTGTTATTTGTAGCAGTTGGTTATCATATACATTTACAGGTTAAACATTAGTGTGCCTAGGAATAGCTCCACTTATCCCTACAGGGCTATCATCAGAAGAACTCTAATGAGGACTTAAAAAAAAGCAGTAAACATCCCTATCCACATTTCAAGCCAGAAGAACTCAGAAGCACGAAGTATCTTGTTCAAGAAGACCCGACTGACAACAGACTCCAGGAATCACAAATTCCTGTCTCGTATCTTCAAGTACTGCTCTATCCTGCTGGATATATTACTGGAAAAATAATGGTCATGGTTTGAAGTTCTCAAATCTGCAGCAGCTCTTAATGGTACAAAGGTAAAACATTTCAGATCCTATCAAGGCTTTGGACATGCACAGCTTTTTAGTATTATTTAAATTATTGCTATTTGGTAAATGCAGCAGTTGAAACACGGTAAGTTTCTCACTAAGTTCCAGCTCTTACTCCCTTTCTGGTCTCATTAAACCATTGACAAGCGAAAAGCTGCTCTTTGGTGCCTTTTGTTACCATACACGCTCAAGGAGAACTGCTTACTGAAAGGCTAAACGTTTACTTGGTTATGTAGCTCAAAGCGCACATCCAACAGATTTCCATACCTGCCGAAAGTCACAATTCCCTACTCGTGTTCACGATCATCGCGTCTCAGTATGTGGTAGCGCACATTCCACCCCGAATTCAGATGAGCTACGTTTGTACCTTCTTATTTACAAATGCTCATGCGTGCTTTATGTATACCACTTTTCCTACATTTCCCCAGGTCATAAGGAACAATGGAAGTACTCTGACTTCTACACGACAGCAAGGATCCCCCTAGATCCAAAAAGACACAAGGATAGAAATCAGTCTCCTGTGATACCAGGATGCGTAGCAGAGAAGACGTGCAGCAGGTTATTTCCCAGCATTAAGCCACACACTAAAGTATGTCCTTCTTGGCATTTCACTCTACAGCAGCCAACCTGTAGATTATTTCTCTCTGAAGCTTCTTGCACTTTCATCTCTTGCAAAAATTTTGCTTAGAATGTAATGCAATAATCCTGTTACAGTTAACAAAACTTCAAAAAAAAAAATCATCACCTGTAAAGAAAAAAAACACTTCCCAGAGATCAAGCCACATATCAATACAATTTCAAGTGTACGTTGGCAATGACACCTTTAAGCACATCAATGATGGCTGTTACAATCTAACTAAAAAAGGTTCAGTACAGGCAACTATGAAAAAACCCAGCATGCAAAACCTCTGACAAAACTGTCTGCAGAACACTTCTGATGAACCCCAAGTAGAGATTTACATCACAGCTTGCTGCTGCAGTTTTGCACATGCACGGTCAAGTGACAGTACTGCACTGGGCACACTAACACTATTCCTGTTCGGCTCAGTAATAAGACTTAGCTCATTTCCAACCGTTTGGTTTGAAGAAAGATGCATGCTGGAAAACATCACAACTCTTTCATGGAAGCTATTTCCATACTTACTGGTGCTACTATTTTGCCCGTCTGTCCAACTTGCATGTCATTAGGAACAAAGCCAGCATCAACAGCTGCACGGGAAGCTCCAACTAGTTGAAAGAAAATATTTCCAGTGTTTTCTTTTAAAATATTAGCGAGCCAAATTTATATCACCATAAAAGCACATGTATTTTACTGAAGAGTCCCACACTCTAAGGCCACGTATTTAGAAACTTCTCTCTTAAGAGCTCTTATAGTAATCCCTCTCTATACCACTGGCTGAAACTTCCAAATACCAAGTGCTAATGCACTTCATAAGCAACAGGAAATCCTTACTCCCAGCACCAAAGGGTCATATATTTAAAACCGAGGATTTCAGTCTGGCATATTTCCATTATTTTCTCTTGTTGTTTTGTCAAAAGAGGATTTTCCCATAAATGCCTTCCCATAATGTTCCTTCAAGTTCGAACAGAACACATGTGCCATCTTATATTGCTAAGGAGCTCAAAAGTTAGGCAGAGCAAAGAAAAATAACAAAGTAAACTTGAAAATGGCACATGGGCATTTAGTTAGTGAAGCCACCAATTTAAAAACAAAGCCATTCATGTAAAATCACAAATTTTTTATTACATGTGAAATCTAAACCTAAGGTAGATAAAATGTTAATGCAAATAGTTCCTCCTCCTCGCTCAACCTTTAATTAAAATATTTTTGCTTAAAATATTTTGTTGAAACACCATACATGGTCAGTTTCCTCCTGTTAATACAAAAGCATAGCAAAAAGACAGAGCGACTCAAACTACAGAACTGTGAGAGGGATTCTGTAGAGGAGCAGTACATAAAGATGTATGAAGAACATATCAGCTCTTCAAAGTGAGCTAAGGATGTTTTTTAACTTCCACAACTTCACTTTTTGTTTGTAAGCTTGTGTTCTGGAGATGTGAGAAGGACAGGGAATATTACAGGTTAGTATTTTGTTTCATATGCAGGCATTTAAACACACAGCTGACCACAAGGACAAGACAAACCTTTTTCTACAACTAAACTAACAGGATTTTAAGAATTTAATTGACAGAGATATGAAAATAAAAACTTAAGATGAACATTGTTTTTAATGTGACCTTTTTAAATATAACCAGGATTAAAAAAAAAGAAGGAAAACAAGTTTACCTGCGGCATGCAATTGATCCGCAAGATCATATAACAACTTAAAATTTTCCCCGCTCTTCAAGCCTCTCCCTTAAAGTTAAGAACAAAAAAAATGAAGAAAGAAGAACACAACATGCTGTAAGATTTTTTTATTGCCTACGTAAACTTTCTGTATGAGTATTTGCATTTGAAAAGGCACAAATATACACTTGTATAGGTTATCTTTTTATATGTTAATAAATAGTGTTTAATATTCGGAGATTTAGCTTTTGTCTTTGTGATTAATATTATTATTTCATATGTATAAGCCAACAGCACTCTGTCTAGTTTACTTCCCGCCTACAGCACCCTCAAGATTACCCAATGAAATCAGGGAAACAGGATTTTTTTACTAATTTGTGCTCCCTCTGCTGGCTTTAAGTACAAAATTCCGTAGTGGGATAACTAAGGAATAATTTTTTAGCCATAGCCACACAGTAAAAATCAGAGTCCATCACTTTATACCTGAAGAGTAGAATACAAACATAATGATTTTTAAAACCATTCAAGCCATTACATAACAACATTTAGACTTCCTGTTTAAACATGACACATTTGGATCTAAAGCCACTTCATATTCCTATATTTTTAAGGGGACTTACCAAACAGGACAATGTTCTTACAAAGCCTACTAGCATATGTTAAACTCGTGTTTTGCCTCTTCACGAAACACACGTTGGGTGGATTCCCACTGTCCTCTATGCCGTATTTCACAATTACATCATAACATTTTTTTTTAATATATCACATTACAGTGTTCTGCTACAGAAATTATTCAATCGAGATGCACCATTACTTAAATGCAACATGACATAGTTTTAAAATTATCTACTTACCACCCGATACAACCACTTTTGCACTAGTAAGCTCTGGTCGATCGCTTTTTGTCAACTTCTGCTCAATCCATTCAGACAGACCAACAGGTGGTGGAGGGGTTACTGCATTCATCAGATGAAGAAAAACATCCGTAAGAAAGAGGATAATGCATGTATTTTCAACCTTTACAATTTGAGTTTAAGCTTAATGCAAAAGTTCACTCTGTAACCAACTCTACCACAAGCTTTTAACTACGAGCAGTAATCACTCCATGGCTCCGAGTTACCAGCCTTTCTCATTAGTTGTGTTTAAATAACCTTTAGTACAAGCTGCACTAAAATGAAGGTCTGTTGTACAAGTAATAGATTGATACCAACCCAGCATAAGCGTGGTTCTTATTAAGACAGACAATCAAGCCAACTAAGTAGTGCAATGACAACGCAATACACTGATCTTGAGTATCAAGTGGCATTTGAATACAGGATGGTTCAGGGGCAGGTATTAAGGCACTCAGAAAAATACGAGGACTGGGGGACACACACACGCAGCACGTTACTAATGATTGCCTCTGGATTTACAGCACAGTCATAAAAAAGGCCCACAGCAAACAACAGAAGAGATAATCAAACACTGGAACAGGTTGCCCAGAGTGGTTGTGAAGTCTCCGTCTGTGGAGATACTGAAAGCCTGACTGGGCACAGTCCTGGGCAACCTGCTCCAGTTGATCCTGCTTGAGCAGGGGGGTTGGACTAGATCATCTAAAGCGGTTCCCTCCAACCTCAACTACTTCGTGATTCTGTGACTAGACTTCTCTCTTATCAAAGCTACACTGGCTTCATTAAAATAATTTCAACTGATTTAGTTAAAACTGATATAAAACAATGATTTGGTGTTCACAAACCAATTTAAACTGCTACTAATTTAGCTAGACACTGTAATGACCTATCTCAATTAAAATACAACCAATTAAACCAAAACCGTGGATAGCCAGCTGCTTTTATTTTTGCCCAATCTTGCTTTACAAACCAATCTGGCTATTCAAACAGCTGGAATTTCAAATAAGAAAAAGGGTCGAGATTGTGGAGGCAGAGGTTTAAGCAGCAAGTGAAACAGGCACAAATAATCTCTATCTCTGGTCGAAGAGAAAATAGCAAGTGATCAGACAACCCATATTTTCCCTTATCAGACGTCACTAAAAAGTTCAAGCACCCATATCAAAAGCATAAAGCTAAGACTGTGACAATCAGTTTGCTTTGACAAATACTTCTGCAAAACATCACCATGTAGTGAGCAAAACTAAGTCTATTACATGAAAGAACAAAAAAAAAAACAGAAAAAATACTCACGTTTTTCTAAACTGGCACTACCACCACTTGTTGGTGCAGCCTCAAAAGAAGTTCCCCGTACAGTAAATACTTTAATCGCTTCATCACATTGCACAGTGCAAAGAATATTTCCTACAAATAAGGGTCACGTTACATTTTTACAGAAGACAGTATCAGACACAGTATGCTTTTTAAAAACAAATAAAATTAATACGACAAACATATTAGCAGTTCTACTAGAATAGGCAAGATTCAGAAAGTTACTTCCCAAAACTGCAGTTTTAGATGACCAAAACTTGAAAGCTAGGCACTTAATAAATGTAAATTGTAAATATTTTGGTTTTTAGTTCCATGCTTCTGAAGTATGACAAATCTTTTTTTTTTAAAAAGAATACAGAGCATTCAAATCATCCCTCATGAATGAGCTTTTAAATTTCACAAGAGAAAAAAAAAAGAACCTTTGACAGTGTCATTCAAACATAAACAGTGTCTATAATTCAAAGTAATCTTTTATCCTGTTGCATGACTTCATCAGAACAGAATACAATGAGATCTGCTCCAAGTATCTGCAGGATTGTGTTTCTTCTCAATAATATATAATATGAGGTATTTACTTCACCCTGGAGGCTGCAGGGAACACTTAAAAGAGAAAAAATCCTGCAACACCATCTATTCACAAAAAAAGTCACCTTGAAATTGTGAATTACTGGGAAGCGACTTAAAAGTGCAACACAAAAACGACATTCTGGTAATGTAACTTGAAATGTAATATCACATTGGTACACGTAGTCCAATGTTCTACGGCAAAATTAAGAACCAAAAGCTAATGAGCTAGTATCTGAATTAAAACACAGGGTCAGACAAGCATTAGAGAAACAAGACTGAAAAAAAGAAATTTAAATTAAGACAATTAAATATTATAAATAATTAGCTCAATGTCTTCATAACCAGGAAAAATAACCCTGTGGTATCTTAAATCTGAACTAATGCTAGTCATATTAAATAAAGCTGGACAATTGACTTAATGTCTTACACTGTGCAAAATCTGATCAGAAGTACATTAACAAAGAAATGCAGTAAAGGAGATTACCAAACTCTATTAACTGAAGCGACAGACCTGGTTTCTAACTGACAGGACCAAAATTGTCGGGATTACTTGCTTTTGCACACACATGGAGCATCATATGTCCACTCCCAGGTTTCATCCTCATGAAACACAGCAATTCAGATTGTAAAGTGAAAATTCGTATCATATTCCTGTTGCTAGAACAGGATTATGTACAAAAGTTCACAGTATTGGGTTCTTTATTGCACAAACATCACATATCTTTTGTGATTACTCACCTGCATAGATAGTTCTCACAAAAATGTCTGGTGCCTGGATTTCAATAATGTCAGAAACAGGGGCAACATCGAGTTTGCCAGCTACTCTGGGAATAAGATTCTAGAAGTTAAAGATGAAAAGTAAGCAAAGTAAATGCTAAGTGAAACACACATGGTCAGTAAATGAATGTCTGCTGTCCTGATTTTAACTTCATATAATGTTGTCTGTAAGTAAAAAGGCACATACAACTGCAAGATTTTTTTAGGGCTACTAATGTAGCTTTAGCAGCTAAATAAAATCCCATTATTGTAATAACATTAGAAATTTTATGAGACTTACAGTAAGGAAACCCTTAATTCAATATCTTATATTAGGAAGCTTATTTGCTTCAATAGTTTAAAACTGAATATAGATGCGATTTACTCAGAAATTGGACAATTATGGATTTCTGAGCTCTTAGCACTTCCAAGGAAAAAAAAAAAAAAGCATTTTTGGAAGCTAGTTACTGGAGACAATAGGAAAAAAAAACCCTGCACTCTCCCCTCAAAAGCCAAAAAATTATTTTAAAAAATAATATTAAAACATATACTCTCCTGCTCTGCAATCGACTCTAGAAAATAATCTAGCAGCTTTAGGAATGGGAAGAAAAATAAAAAGGGCAACAAAAATCATGAAGAAATTAATGACAGCAAGAGCTTTGCTCGCTTTTTGTCCTGTCCCTGTGCGTGTCCCCCCCCCCACCAACCTGGTACAACACAAAGGGCCTAGTTCTGAAATTTTTACTCACATTAAGCATTCAAATATGGAAGCTTAAGCTTTATAGCAAAAGCCATTAACCTTTACTAAGACACAGCAGATCAAAAATTAAAAGAAAAACTAAAATAAAAAAACCCGTAGGAGTTACGGTACGTAAAGATTTCTCTTAGCCAAATCACAAGTATGCAGATCGATACTGACTGGAAGTGAAAGCAGTCAGATGGAAGGCTGATGTCATTATTCATCCCACTTCAGCAACACTTCTGAAGTGTCCTTTTTCTCTAATTTAGCCACACCACCACAACCATTGACCAGATCGTTAGTGCTGAGGCTCTCTGCATACTTAAAACCACACACTTTAAAAAATAAGTTTTGAAAAACTGTATTTTCATTAAAAAATATCTTGGCTAGGACATGGATCTGTGTTGTTTATTCACAGACATTTAAATTTACATGACTTACATCATAGGTGCAATTCCCCTACTCCAAATAAAATTTGCTTCCAATAGATCTGCACACTCTAATTTTGACCTTTTTCATCTCAATTTACGGTACTTTTGCTTACAATTTTCATAATGCTTTCAGACCACTTAATCTGTTTTGTGCTATTGTACATTTTGTCTTGTGTACGTAGAACTAGCTGGCTACCACCAAACATTTCTTCTACACTGTTCCTTTTTGCAAATCAGCCCACTACAAAACTCAGACATGGGTCCCTGTTTCTAACTAATGACTTCTTAAGCGAACTACTGTAATATTTCTTTAAAACTCCAAACTGTCCATGCTGACCTCTCTCAGGCATTTGATTCACACTCTTACATACAATAGTGTCTCTGCCTCTTTTCTACAAGAAATTTTTGATGCACTTTGATCTACTTACCTTCCCAAAGGCAGACGCTCCAGCACAAATGTGGGTATAATTAAATTTTTTATGAGTTTCCAAAATCAAGGGAGTCAGCTCCTCTGAGGATAAAAATATATTGCTCAAAATTTACAACCATTTTATTTTCAATCACAAATATAAATGTCATTTCTTTTGTCAATAGAAGAGAACAACTCTCACCTGCTAGAAATCCCTTGTATACATCGTGCTGAGCCACCAGAACTTTTGCAACACCCTGCACTTTGCTGAGTTCTTGTGCTACCTATAATTACAAATGAATTATTATTAGTTTGTATTATAACAGCACATGGAGGCTCCAATTAAATCTAGAGCCCCACAGTGGCAGGCACCATAAACAAATAACAAGAGAGAGTCTCTGTTGCAAAGAGCTTACAGCCTATAGATTCATTCAAACTGGAACACAAAAGTACGCGTACTTCAACATCAGAACGGACCTGATGGATCAAAACGCCGATCTTCTGACTCACAGCATAGTGCCTTACAGGATAACAAAAATTAATTTTGTGAATAAGAAAACTACAAAGCAAACCAGAGGAACGCCTGCCTCCTGTATGCAGGACGACACAACGATCTCGTGATTTATTACAACAGCCGATAACAATCACACTTGAGGATTACTGCTCAGAATTCTGATACGATCATCAAGAAACCAATCCTACTTTCTTTTAAATCAGTCGCTAACTACCGCACAAGCATACAACACAAATGCAAATGTACGGCGATGTTGTGATCTTTGTCCAAATTTTCAGAGTAATCCTTTGTTTGCAGCTGACTCGTTGCCTACTGATGTGATGTATATTTTCAATTTTATATTTATGCATTTTTTCCTTTAAATGTGTAGAAGTCAAGTTTAAATGATAAAAGGGTTGTTGCAGATCAGAGAGAAGAGGACTGACAGCGGTGTCTGGAGACCACATGCATCGTCCCAAAACTAGCATAGTTTTGCTGGGTATCAGTTTACCCTCAAAAATTAACAAGAGGAAATAAACAAAAATTCGGTAATAGTTGCTACAGAATATCTGAGTAACTAGCTCTTTTGTCCTATCAACACAGATTCTTAGACATAAGCTTAAAAAAACCCCAAGCTTTCATCTTCTGTAAAGTGCTTTTCCCCACCTTTACATGCATTGCCAAACAGACACCATATACTTAGCATTAAAAAACCAAGCAAAACTTTCCCAATCATTTTTCTACTATGCAAGTGACAAAGCATTAAGAAACGCAAAGATGGAGAGATCAGGCAAAATTAACTGTTTTTTTTTTCACGTTCTTGATGTAGATAAATATGTGCTTCCAGGTCTTCACCTTGAACGCCTGGGTCTCAGTTAGAACCAGTCTTTAACAGCCAGTGAGGTTTCTCCACCCATTTGTGAATTAGCTGCCAGAAGTATGCCTCCTGCACAAGACACTACATATTGCTTTCAGAAACACAATTCATAAACAATAGCCTGACTGAAAAACATCAGGCATAATTACTTGTATTTTACAGTTCACACAAGATTACATCCTGCTGGAGCAGGAGTGTCACTAACGTACCTACTATATGGTCTCTAGATTTTGCACATAAAAATTAGACTAACAATAAACACAACAGCTAAACATGTAAGAAACTTTATTTAAACGTGAGCTAAATGCTAAAGTCAAGAAGCATTAATCACAGAATTTTACGTTGCAAACACACTCTCGCTATGCTACTAGTAGTTGACTAGTAAAAGCGAGATGCTCTGAAGCCCTATTTGTCACCGTGCTG